GGATTTCGTGTTGTTTTCATTCCAGGATTCCACGCAAGGTCCTCTTCAAAATGCGCTCAATAATCGGGACACAATACCCACCGAGATGTATGAATATGAATGGATCTTGATGAAGAAACAGGCGTTGCGGCTACCAAAGAAGAACCAGGAGCGTCAGATTCCAGCAGGTGGCGAAGCAACATACGAGTTTGAGATTCTCGGCAAGCCTGGCTTGACCCATGCCACAATTCAGGTGGACTATACGAATTTAGGCAAGCCGCAGGATGAGGTTACGGAGCAGTTCTTCACTAGACAGGTGAGCGTGGATCTGACTGTGACCGTGAACGCCAGCATCGAGATGTCGCGATTGGATGTTCTCCCCATAGAAGGTGATATTCCTCAAGCGATCAAGGACAGGCACAACGACTCTGATTCCTTGGATCTCAAAGACTATTGCTTGCTATCTATGGATCTACGAAATGCCTGGCCAAGCCATATCAATGTACATATCGAAACGGAAGATGGCATGGTGCTTGATGACAACATCTTACCTGGTAATATCAACCGCATCGTTCTGCCCGTCAAGCGGGTATATCTGGAAGATCCCCATGCATCTATTCCTAGTCTTAATCCTGGGCGGGATAGACAGTTTGTCGTCAGCAGGATTGCGCCCGAGATTGAGCGCATTAACCGAGAGGCCTTCTGGTATCGAGAGAAGCTCATGGAGCGCCTGAAGGGGACATGGAAGACAACATCGGGACAGAAGCGGCATGGAACCCTTGAGCTCCGGACCCTACGACTGACACCTCGAATGATTGATGTCGTCAGGTTGGAGGACATTGGAATTGATATCTCGGTGGAAGACGAGGATGGGGCTAACGGTGACACGAACGTTGGCTACGTTGATGAATTCATGCAGGCCAGGGTCAGGCTCACCAACAGATCGAGCAAACCAATCACGTCTGTCATTAGACTGCTACCAGCGCTCTGTCACCGGCCGCTGGGCATTGCTCTTGACTTTACGCGGAAATTTGCCTGGAACGGCTCCCTCCAGCAACTATTGCCCAGGATCGAGGCCAACTCGACGGTTGATTTTGTCATTGGTGTCACAGCACTGTGCAGGGGCGAGTTTGAGCTCTCAGCGACGGCAGAGGAAGTGGTGGTGCTTCAAGAGGAGGGTGAGAAGGCCTTGCAACGGAAGAAATCTGATACCCAAAAGATGTTAGACGCAGCGCTTGGAGCGAAGGAGCGGCGGGTGTGGCATTCACGACATCCGTATATTTTGCTGGTGAGGGACAGGGACTGAGTGATGGATGTTGATGATGTGAATATGATTCTATCTGCGGCTAGCGAGGTGGGACACGATATGTAGAAGTAGACGAAATACCACGAGCATACACAACAGACTGGTCCATCCATCACTGCTGAGGGACTGTGTGTTAGCTTTGGCGATGACCCCGATATCGCCTCACGGGGCTGAAGGTTGGATGGATGGAGGTTCCCGGCTTATTAGCGCGAAACTCAATCACGACTGCTAAATCTATGGGTACATTCTAGATCTGCTTTACACGGCAAAGCGCTCACTGCGACATGCTCATCGGAAGTATCCTGACTCATTGTGGCAGGTCAGTAGCCTCTGGACCAATCACAGGCGAGCCGGCAACCAAGTCCATGACTATCTCCTAGTCGAGTTGAATTTTCTCATCGCCTCTGCCGCATTGTTCGAGGCGCTGTTACTAAGTAGCGGCTTTTCGCGGCAATCCGGGGCTATCTCGTCGTTCGGACGCGAAAAAGTCCCGCCTTCCTTCACTCGGCCCCAGAAAATTATCAATTCGAGGGTGATTCAGTCATTCATTCAATCATTCGTTCGTTCATTCACAACCGCCTTTTGGGCTTCTTCTCACAGTCTCTGAGAGCAATTGCTTCCGCTTAAGAGCCCATCCGCTCACCCAACTCTTCTTCTTGAGACACCAAAGAGAGATCTCAGCAGCCCATAAAAAATAGAGCAAACGGCAAAGCCATGGAGAATGGCGACCCGCAACATGTTCGCCGGTCCCGCATCCTCTTCCTAGATGCCTACGACTCCTTCACCAACAACATCGTCTCGCTCCTCACAGAGCTCCTCAATGTCCAGGTCTGCGTCCGGCGGATGGACCTGTCCCCGTTCCCGCCTGAGCGGGGGCCGTCGTGGACGCGGGAGGAGCTCGTTGATCACCTGAGTGGGTTCGACGCCGTGGTCTGCGGTCCCGGCCCCGGGTCGCCGCTCAACCCGGACGACGTGGGCGCGTTCAGGACGCTCTGGGACCTGGCACGGGCCGAGGCGGTGCCCGTCCTGGGTGTCTGCCTGGGGTTCCAGAGCCTGGTGTGCTCCTTTGGCGGGGAGATCAGGAAGCTGAGGAGGGGTCTGCACGGGATGGTGAGGGACATCGAGTATGAGGGCCGGGACATCTTCAGCGGGGTGCGGCCCTTCAAGGCGACGCTGTATCACAGTCTGTGTGCGGATCTCGGGCAGGATGCTGTTCCTGCGTCTGAGTGGCCGCTGCAGCAGTATAAGCCTTTCCCGGGCGCGCCGAATCTGATACCGTTGGCTTGGTCGAGAGGGCATGTGGAAGAAGGAGAGGATGAGCGCATTCTCATGGCGGTTAAGCATGCTCGGAGACCGTTCTGGGGGCTGCAGTACCACCCAGAGTCTATCTGCACCCACGCCGAAGCGCACGACGTACTGAGGAACTGGTGGGCCGAAGCCCAGAGATGGAATGCCGTGTCCAGGATGAGGCCACTACACTCTCTCACTGAATCGGAATCCGGCGAGGTGGAGACTCCAACGCATACAGATCAGTACAACAAGCTCAGCCAGCAGTACGGACAGGCTTCTTGTGAGCTTTTCGACACCACGCACGCGGGTCCTCAGCACTACTCCTTCGTAAAGTTGAATATTCCCCAAGACCTCACGGCAGTGGAAGTGGCGGAAGCATTGGGCGAAGGCAAGGACGACACCATCGTCCTCGATTCATCGAGTGCCTCCAAGGGCGACCCTCTTGCCCTCTACAGCATCATCGCGCTCGAGGCTGACAAGGCGCCGCGCCTCAAACACCGAGCTGGCGAGAGGTTCGTCACCCTCTCTTCGCCGTCCCAGCAATCTGGTCTTTCGGCGCAAGAAGAAAGAATCGGCTATCTTGATTCCGCGTCTGGCGAGTTCAGCCCGTGGCAGGTTTTCTCCAAGTTCTGGTCCGAGCGGAGACTGGATGTCTCAAAGCTGCCGGCGGGCCTTCCCGATGTCTTCAAGGGAGGTCTGATCGGATATGTCTCATATGAATCGGGTCTGGACGCCCTCTCTCCCGGGGTTCTCCCCACGGAGAGAGGCCACCGCCGTCCTGATATCTGCCTCGCATGGGTTACAAGGAGCGTCGTGCTCGATCATCGAGCAAATTCGGCATACGTCCAGACCATTAGCAATGATCCAAGCACTGGCCAAGATTACTGCAAGGTGGTGGCTGATAAGCTGCGCGACGCGCCCTGCATGACCAACCAAGGGGTTTATGACCCAGCGCACACAAACGGAGTTGACCAATGGCAGCAGTGCCCAGGAGAGATCTTCCAGTACCAGCTGCCCAACGCTGCCACCTACCAGGACAAAGTTCGCAGGTGCCAGGACTCTATCAAAGAGGGGAACTCGTACGAGCTCTGCCTGACGGATCAAACATTCATCACCCGCGCTCGAGGCGATGACGTACCGCCTCATGTTAACACCAAGGGCGCTACCTTGTACCGTGCCACGCCATGGGACATTTTCAAGCGGCTTCGATCCCGCCAGCCAGCTCCGTTCGGATCGTTTGTCAAACTTGGCGGCGCGACCCTGATCAGCAGCTCACCGGAGCGGTTTCTGCAACATACTTCGGAGGGACTGTGCGCCATGCGCCCGATGAAGGGGACGGTACGCAAGTCCGATCAGGTGTCGACCTTGTCCCAGGCAGAGGAGATCCTCCACATTCCGAAGGAGGAGGCAGAGAACCTGATGATCGTCGACCTCGTCCGCCATGACCTCCACGGCATCTGCGGGGCGGGCAAGGTCACGGTCCCCGAGCTGCTCAAGGTGGAGGAGTACGCCACCGTCTTCCAGATGGTCACCAACGTCCAAGGCCAGCTCAATGCCGAGCAGCGTGAGGTCAAACACCCCCAACGACGACGAAAGTCCGAGTTCAACGGGCTGGACGTCCTCTCCTCCGTGCTCCCGCCCGGCAGCATGACCGGCGCGCCGAAGAAGCGCAGCTGCGAGATCCTGTACGGCCTCGAGAAGGGCATCGAGCGCAGCCTGTACTCCGGGGTCGTCGGATACATGGACGCGGCCGGCAAGGGGGACTGGAGCGTCACCATCAGGGCCATGTTCAGGTGGGACGACGAGCTGGCGCCGCCGGCCGAGGGCGAGACGGAGAAGAGGGAGGTGTGGCACATTGGTGCCGGCGGCGCCGTCACCATCCTGAGCACGCCCGAGGGGGAGCACGACGAGATGGTGACCAAGCTGTCGGGGCCGCTGGGTATTTGGAAGGCAATGGAATAGAGGAAACCGGTTACGGGCGCGTGGGTGGGTTATAGAAACAGCATGATACTTCAACGTATGCATATCTGGAGTTTTGTTTTAGGGTTGGATTCGGATTTTCAACAGCATTAGAGGGATGGCGCAAAGCGAAGGAAGAGAGCAGGGAATTACAGGCGATTTAAAGTAACGGAATACAATATCCATGATGCGAATGTCCTTCACATAGGGAGAAGGTACAATTGAGCTCGTCGTATGAGCACGTGTTTCGGTTCCCAGGTCCTTTTATGTCCCAAGATGATCAATTGACTGCGCTGAATGCTCCAAGCCATAGAAATGAAAACTCCCTCCAGTAGCCTGTACAAAAATGCGTCGATACAAGTGTTGCCACACAGTGTGTTGCCCGAATAATCTGTTTCCTCCGCAGGCGAAATCCCCCATCCCCCCAGTCAAGACTGCATACGATCTTCCCGTCTTAAGAATCCGCTTAGAATTCCTGCTCCTCGTGGAAGAACATGCTGAAGCTGATGATGGTTCCGTAAATCAATAGACCACCGACGATAGACATGATCATGGCCTCGACTCGGATGAGGTCGGCGTGCGCCAGCACTATGGGCAGGGCTAGGGAAAAGCAAAAGTTAGTTATTATGCGCATCATCAGCGCGATGCGCCTGAGGAAGATGGAACGTACCCATTCCCATCACGACGAAGAAGCCTGTGAAGAAGCGACCGAGGTCGAGGACGGCGGCGCCGGAGCTCTCGACGAAGTCATCGGGGTTCGCGCATCGGCTGCAGATCCAGTTGGGGATTGGGGCGATCACGTATGTTCCGACCACGAGGAGTGGGTAGTAGACCTTGAACAAGGCGCAGGAGAGGATGACGAGGAGGAAGCCCACTGCCAGGACGAAGGACAGGGCAATGATGGTCTTGAGGCCGGCGGCTGGCATGATGGCGGTTGGTCTGACACTGGATATACACCCGGGAAGGGAAGGAGCTGCGGGATCTGGAGGAGCGCTTCTCAAGAGAAGATGGGGCGGTGGAATGTAGGTATGCGAGATAGCGGAGGGCGTCGGTTCGGTCCGTTGGGTGCAGAGCCGTCGGTCGTGGCGATCGCTGCGTCAGGCTGGTGCTGGAGGATGAAGAAGCTCGCGAGCTGTGGCCTCGCCGCCCACTCTCGCAACAGGCAGCGTCACCAATGCCGCATGACACCATGCTGCGGCTGGGCGCCCCGGCCGGAACAGCAGTTATTCCGGCGCTGGTGAAAACAGCAGGCGGTGAGGATTCGAGCTCAGACCCCTGGTGGCGCCGGCGAATAGGGACCCCTGTAATAGAGGACAGCCGTCGCCCAGGAAAAAAACTCGAGATTTCCGCTAGGAAAAAACCAGCCCCACTGTAAAATCATCTTGCCTGGTCCCGAACTTTTTTTTACATCTACCTTCCAGCCTGTCTCCCCCATACTCAACAACAGTACAACCGATTGAGAAGATTGCTGCTCCTCTTTCCGGGAGCTACCAGAAGTCACCATGGCTTCGGATGAAATTATCTGGCAGATTATCAACCAGCAGTTCTGCGCATTCAAGTTAAAGTAGGTTTCTAGCACCAATTGGCTGGCACGAGGCATACTCGCGACCAGATAGCAAAAGGTTTCTGATAGCAAGGCTGACAATTTTAACAGAACGGAGAAGAACCAAAACTTCTGCCGCAATGAGTACAACGTTACTGGGCTGTGCAATCGCCAGTCATGCCCCCTCGCCAACTCTCGCTACGCAACTGTCCGCCAACACCCTACCAAGCAGACACTGTACCTCTACATCAAGACGGTGGAGCGAGCCCACCTGCCGTCCAAGATGTGGGAGAAGATCAAGCTGTCCAACAACTACAACAAGGCGCTCGAGCAGATTGACGAGAAGCTCATCTACTGGCCCAAGTTCATGCTACACAAGTGCAAGCAGCGCCTGACCCGCCTGACGCAAGTGAACATCCGCATGCGACGCATAGCCGCCGAGGAGGAACGCCTGGGGGAGAAGCTCGTGCCCAAGCTGGCGCCCAAGATCAGGAACCGCGAGCGTGCCAGAGAGCGCAAGGCCGAGGCGGCTGCCAAGCTGGAGAAGACGATTGAGAGAGAGCTTCTGGAGCGTCTGAGACAGGGTGCGTACGGCGATCAGCCGCTCAACGTCAGCGAGGACATCTGGAAGAAGGTCCTCAACGCCATGGAGCGTGACGGCGAGGGTTTGAGGGACGAGGACATGGACGACGGCGAGGATGAGGAGGAGGAGCTCAACAGCGAAGAGGAGGACGACCTCGAGAAGGAGGTTCAGTATGTCTCTGACATTGACGAGAGCGAGGAAGAGCTCGAGGACCTCCAGGACTGGCTTGAGAGCGAAGCGGAGGATGAGGAAGAAGACGACGAGAGCGATGAGTCTGAGACTGAGAAGTCCAAGGCAGGTCTCAAGCGCAAGCGTGGCCGCGCAATCAAGATGAAGAACAAGAAGCCCCGACAGGAGAAGCAGAAGGTCGCTTTGACCAACGAACTCGAATGGTAAAATGGCGTTGTTTGGCGTAAACCGGTTTGGGATAGTGTGTATATACACATCTGTTATATTGTCTGGGGTTGCAATCACAAGTGCAGTTTGAGAAGCGAAATTGATACCATATGAAATCAGCTGTTACAACTGGGGGCCCGAATTTGGTACGGACAGGGAAGTCAACAAAAAACTGGAGGGTAGCGAGAGCCGCAGAAGGGCCAATTCTTTCATAGCATTAGATCAGCATTATCGTTTATTTCATGCCCGACCCTTTCTGAAACCAGGCTGTGACAATTGGCCTTGGTGCTTCAATGCGACAGGGTAGAGGGAAACGACTTTTTATTATCTAGTTTTTTGAGAGGATGCTTGTTGTTCTTTTAGTAGGAGAACTCCTGCCCGGCAGAGTTGACGAAAAGCCACAACGAACGCCTGTCAGCTTGGCAATACAGTTCGAAACGATGGCAAATATTCCTCTCCAAGTGTTGTGATATTTGGCATGAACCATCAGCCGCCGCACCGCAAGATCAGAGAAGGCCCCACATGCCACCTGCTTAACTCGAACCCCACGTCACCGACAAGGAGCTCCAGAGGCCAGTGCATTTACCACAGCCTGGCAGCCAGTCCTCTCTCCGCCTCCAAAGCTGAGTAGTCCTACCATTGCTGCCTTCTCACCACACACCCACCACCGCTCAAATCTCAGCCTTCAACCGCTCTCAATCCGCCCACTGCCTGTCATAAATTCTCAGGCGAAGACCGCCTCTCGATTGCAACAACTCACACCCCGACAGCCGGTCCGAACACCCTCACGAGCCCCTCCCCTTTCTCCAACCTCCCGCCACCACAGAGAAGCAAGCCCACAACCCTCCTGACACCAGACAAGAAACCAGACCTACACCTCACCAACAAGGCCGCCGGGCCAGGAGAAGAACAAAACAAATCACCCGCCCACCATGTCCTCCTGGTACTCCAATCTCATCACAAAAACCTCGTCCCAAATCTCCAGCTTCCGCGCCAACATCTCCTCCTCCGAGAACGACGGCGACACCGAGGACGACACCCACGTCTGCCGCGTCCTCC